GAGAAAACCCACGCATGCATGGAGAGAACATGCAAACTCCACCCAGAAGGGTCCCCCTGGCTGGGATTCGATCTGGCAACATTCTCTCTGAGAGGCAACATCTCTACCAACAGTGCCACTGTACCAGGGTGTCACTACCTGTCGAGTTTGTGCTGCAAAGAAATAGGGCAGCTCTGAATGTAAAAGGGGATCCAACCTGGAGCTAACAAGGTGTATCTAATAAAGTGGCTGATGGTGAGTGTATATATATATATATATATATACAGAAGTATATATATATATATATATATATATATATACTTCTGTAAAAAAAAACAAAAAAAAAACATTGGTCAATCTTTCTGATCTTGGTTACAATTGTGATTTAAAAAGCCTCAAGAAACTGTGAATGTTTCTGATTAATTTGTCCTCATCAGTATTTTTCATGTCCAAAGAGAAACTCCAACATTTAGCAAACAACAACTTGATTCCAACGTCTTTGCTGTAAAAAAATATTGTAGGGCGATAGAGCATCGAACAGCTCTTGCTACTGTGAAGAAAATGAATAGAAAATGGAAACAATGCAACATTTCCTGAAGGCTGTGGGCATTCTGACTCACATTAAACTTTACACCAGCTGGAACCGCACAGCGCAGTCTGTGTCTCAACTCTCTGACAGCAATGTGTCATGTCTGACTGAACGGAGGGTTTCACCGCTGCGTCCACCTCAGCAGCTCAAACGTGACGGCGTGTACGTTCCTCGGCGTAGCCATGAGCACCACAGAGTGCCAGAGTTCAGTCGACCCTCAGGGGAAGGACTGAGCGGATCAAAGGGGCCTTTTTGCTGAGAAACTGACGTGCACAGTCAGTTTGCAGAGTTTCTGCAATGTTTGGAACATTTGCATAAACCCTTAAAGAATGATTGACAGGACATGATGTGAAACACTGAAGCACTGATTGTTTTCTGGTTAATTGGTGCAGGAAACTAAACTGATTGATGTAGCTTGTAAATTATTGATTCTATTGAAATGATTCAAAGACGTAGGAGTCTTTTGGAGGCTTGAATAAAACCAATTACTGTTGGCAGAGACATTTTTCATTGTTGCTTGTATTTAAGGAGCACATTTAAATCTAAAGCTCAAACATGTCAACAAATGTATAAAGAAGCGCCTTTAGAGCTTTATTTATAAAACGCGTACTATGCCAGTTTAGTTTGTAAAATTAGATTTGATTTTATTAACACCGTATTCTAGAGGATTCATTGTTTGTAAGTGATACAAATAAAATGTTTTGGGGAAAAAAGAAACATGAAAATAATGTTTTTTTGATGTCAAATAAATTAAATGGGCTTTTATAAAACAAATAATGCTAATTACATGAAGCCTTTAAGCTGATGGAAAAGCATTTGAATCTCTTAAATTGTACTATTTTTTCACAGTTTTGTTTATATAAGCCTGATAATCAGTTCATTTATGAAAAATAAGACTGATTTGTTTCACAAACAGAAAATGTCATGAAGCATTATGAATTCATAACACTTATTCGACTGAATCACTTAGCATTCTAAGAAAAATTAAATAAAACTAGAAAAATAGTATTTCCTGTGAAAATGCAGTGTGAATGCTTATGGCTGAATAACTATTTTTTCCCATTCAACCTTTATTTATACAGATTATTCTCATTGAGCCACGAGGACTCATTTACAAGAGAGACCTGTGAAAAACTTGCTGAAAATAAGTAGCTAAAAACATGCTGAAATGTAGCTGAAATGGAAGAACAAACCTAAGTTAGCAGAAGAAAGCAGAAATAACACATATTTACTGAATTAGGTTGAAATAAGCAGAAATGAGCACACAAATTGGGAAATTAGCTAAAATAGCTGACCCGGGGAAAAAAAAAGCTGAAAAGTAGCTGAAAAGGCAGAAAGGAGGTTAACCTATCAGAAGGAAGTGAAAGAGCTGAAATGAGATAAAACTGTGGAATTGGCTGAAAAAGCTAAATGTAGCAAAAAAAAAAAAAAAAACACCAACAGCTGAAAAGCAGTTGAAATAACAAACAACAAAAAAGCTGAAACAAGCAGGAAAACCTGAAAGGAGCATAACAAGTTGAAATGACCAGAAACGTCAATTAGGCTGAAAAAAGCATAAATGAGCACAAAAAAGAGGAAATAATCTGAAAAAAGTTACAATTAGCGAAAACCAGCCGAAAAGCAGCTAAAATATCAGAAATAAGCTTAAATTACAAGAAGGAAGTAGAGAGCATGTTTTTGCGCAATTATGCTGAAAAAAGTTGAAATGAGTGCAAAAATGTGGCATTAGCGGATGAAGCTAAAATTAGCATAAAACAGCTAAACAGTAGCTGAAATATATGAAACTAGCAGAAATAAACTGAAAGGAGCACAGCAAGTTGAAATTAGCAGAAAGAAGTTAGAAGAAGCACAAAAATGTTGTAGTTAACAGAGAGACTCTGTAAGGAGCACAAAACCGTTTAAAAAACAGCCAAAAATAGCAGATTTTTTTTAAATTTGCACAAGGAAGCTGAAAGAATCTGAACCAGAACAAATTATGAAAGGAGCAGTAAAAGGTTGTAAACAAATCTAAAGATATGAAGGATGTAAAATGAGCTCAGTTCATTTTCTATGAGGAAAAAAACACGGCAGAAAAGGCTAAAAATGTCAAAAAGCTAAAGTTGCACCAATACTAGAAGTCATAACGGGATTATCCAGAAAGAGCTTAATGTTTTGATTTATGATTTGTTGAAATAGCTTAAAAACTGTGGGACGAGAAAGATGCTGAAAAACCTACAGAAGAAAAATGGATCACAAGCGTTCACACTATTATTCTAGCATTCCACTGAAAACAGAAGCACTCTGCTTCACTCATGTAAAAGTCATCGGGCGTCACTCTACACCTGCTCACAGCTCCCGAGGCATCAGGTGTAGTGGTGTGTGTGTTCCTGTGTCTGCGTAGCCCTCGTGTGTTTGTGTTAGTCTGTTGTGTCTAATGGTGACTTGTCAGGAGTTCTTTCCAGTAATTGCTGTAAGCAGAGAGGATCTTCATTGCACCTCTCGCCCACATGAAGATAGATGGGCTGAGTGACTCATTTTCACCACGGTTCTCGCCTCTACTGGGATATCACCCACCCAGCTTCTCATCAGCATCCTTATCTTCTGTACTGCAAGAATGTAATTTGTAACTCTCTGTCCTGATCCCACCTATTTCTGTACTTCTCCTCCTTCTTTTTCATTCTATCTGGAGTTAATGACTTCCATGCATTATAATATTGAGCAAGTGGAGGGGGTTGAGGGGGATACATGGTCTGAATGGAGAAAAAGGACGAGGGAATCTGTAGACGAGCTTCTGTTAAGTGTCTCCATATGTCCAGCAGTGAGTGCCTGCAAGGGGAGAGTTAGAAGCCTCGGCTGTTTGACTCTTTTCCGCAGTTTGATAACGGACAGATGGTGTTTGAGTCACCCAGTCCTACACTTTCACCTCTGCTCTCTGGTCTATTTTACTCAGAGTAACCCTATCCCACACTTTCACCTTCAGCTTTAAGGGGGGTGAAATCATTGCTTCTCTCCTCACAACCCATGGAAACGCTGAACAATATAAAAAAGACCTGATGCTTGTGTAGTAACGTCTTGATTCAGGCCATCCCAACATGTTTCACTGCTTCTTGTTCAGCCTGAGTGTTTTTTTTTCCCCATGCTCAGCATTTCATCTCTACTCCACTCAAGCGTGCAGCTAAACTCTACGCTCTTGGATTAAACTTGCGGGTTTGATTTTTCCAAGCACTTTTCAAACTTCTTGATTTTAGGATTCCTTCAGTGGTGTAGTCTATGTGATACATGGGAATACAGAGTATACCCACTAGAAAAGCTCAAGCATTCCAGTATACCCACTTAAAAGTGCCCAATGATACATGACATGTCATTAGGCATGTGTCACTGACACGTTAAATAGCAGTTAAACGCTTCCGTAACAATCTATATGCAGCACTTGTTTATTACATTTGCGTATTCAGCGAATGTATAATTCTGTACTTACTACTTAATACTTTGATACAGTTTTATAAATTATATAATATGTTTTTAATACAAAGTCAACTGTTGTACAAAGTTTGTTGTACATTTATTGAAATATAAGCATCAGAGAAATTTGGAAATGTTCAATATGCTTAAAAATCAAAATAAATAGACAAAATAAATAGACAATCGCATTGTACTAACCAGTGTATATTGGTTTCTAAGCACAGTATACCCACTACAAAAATGTAGACTACACCAACGGATTCCTTCAACCCTGCAACTCGCTGCTGTGCATCCACATCCCTCACATGAAGCAGATAGCATACTATCTATTTTTATTTTGGGACAGCTACAATTATAAAAATGATTTAGGCTTCTGATATGGTAGATGGGCGGCCTTCACTTTGTGGGGCACCAGAAACCAGTGGAGAAGTGAAAAGCTGGAGAAAATTAAATCCATATGTTATAACTTAGAGGATGAGACACATAATTAGACCTTTGGATGCTGCTGGCTGACCTGTCATTCAACAGACACATGCACTTGGTGGAATTGCATCTGTGCTTCTGAGTTCCTGACATAAAACATAAACACTCCTAAATCAAAGTTTGCCTCTTCATCATCCTTCCCCTTTGTCTTCCTAACCACACAACTCTCTGTTTTCAGGGTCCTCCTGGTCCTCATGGGAATCCTGGTCATCCTGGACCTCCTGGAATGAAGGTAAGCAGTAAATGTCTTTCTTCACATCAACCCAATATTTACAATATGCACTTCATTACAAAGACCCAGATTGTAACCAGCGCTGTACTTCGTAAGCCAAAGAGTTCAAGGAATGTTCTCCAGACAACCAGAATTTAAAAAAATACTTGAGTCTGCCATTCTTTTATAAGAATCTCATCTAATGTTAGCAGGCTTCTGTTCTGTATATAATTATAATAATAAAACGCAGGGCAACGCTGGCAGAATGTTAGTTTTTTTTTCTGCTCTTCTCTTTCCTCAATAAATTTGTCACAACGACCAGAACCATTCCTAAATGTTTTATGCATTATTATTTATGTAGACAGTGGTTTTTTGTGCTTGAAACCCTTATTTTATATACATGTTCAATTATAATTTTGTATTAATGTGTATACTTTTTTTTGCATCATTTAGTTGTGTCAGAATATTTGTGATAAAAAGTGAATAAAGTGGGGTGAGAATCAGCACCTCCAAATCTGAGGCCATGGTCCTCAGTTTGAAAAGGGTGGATTGCTCTTTTTGGGGTCTAGGGTGAGGTTCTGCCTCAAGTGGAGGAGTTCAATCTTCTCAGGATTTTGTTCATGAGTGAGGGAAGAATGGAGCGTGAGATTGACAGATGGATTGGTGCAGCATCTGAAGTATTACGGACTCTGTGCCGGTCTGTTGTGGCAAAGAGAGAGCTGAGCTGTAAGGCAAAGCTCTTTGTTTACTGGTCAGTCTACATTCCTACCCTCACCTATGACCATGAACTCAGGGTGGAGACTGAAAGAATGAGATTGTGGACACAGGTGGTTGAAATGGTTCCTCTGTAGGGTAACTGGACTCTCCCTTAGAGATAGGGTGAGATCAGTTGTCAGCAAAGACTCAGAGTAGAACCCCTGCTCCTCCACATCGAGAGGAGCCAGTTGAGGTGGTTCGGGCATCTGGTAAGGATACTTTCTGGGCACCTCTCTTGGGGAGGTGCTTCGGGCATGTCTGACTGGGAGGAGACCCCGGGGAAGATCCAGCGTGTCCTGGGCATGCCTCGGGGTCCTCCCAGAGGAGCTGAAAGAGTTGGCTGTGGAAAGAGATGCCTGGACCTCCCTGCTCAAGTTACTGCCCCCGCGACCATACTTCAGAACAAGCAGAAGATAATGGATGGATGGATGGATGGATGGATGGATGGATGCACGGAAGTGAACTGTTCTTTTCACTTATTTACATTTGCAGTAGGACAACAACCATTATACTAAACCATAGTCAGAACTGTGAGACAGAGAAAGCAAATTATAATTTGTTATAACCACTTACAATAAATAGTGCATCACTGAGCTGAGTCTACTGGTTAACTAGATGACAAAACATGTTTATGAGGGAGTCTCCAATTTGTCTCAAAATGTTTGCAGGCATTCTCAATTTTGTTGCTTGAGTTGAAAGACTTGCAGTCTATTTCTTGAATTTTGAACATGTTAAAGATGTTATACCACATGTTCGCTCAGAATAGTCACCATCTCTAGAACACAAAAGCTGTGCTCTTGATTTGGAGTTCATCCATCAACCATGTTAATGATTATTATTAAATATTTAAAAACTGATCCAAATCTGCCTCTCCTAATTTCACAAGTGCACTCCAGTAGAGTAAATCATACATGCGGGGGCAGCTGCTAAAGTGGGTGTCAAGCAGGCTGAGGCAGACATGATGTGGGCAGAGGTATGCAGTGAAATTATGTGCATGGCCTTAATATTAGTTTGGCATGCTGCACACTCAGAAAAACGTCCTGATTTTCAAAAACCGTCTGTGCAAAATGCTGCTTCATGGCCCACTTGTCACTCGGTCACAAACTTTCAGAATAAAGTGAAGCTGCAACTAAAAATTTGCAGATGTTCTCACAGTAATGAGTCGAGTTCGAGTCACAAACTAGTCTCCAACAGTTGCATCTCAGTTTGATGTTGTCTTTAATGACGTGACTACAGAAAATATCAAAGTGAAGGCTAATTCTTGAAATGCCAATGGTGTGATCAGCTGTTTGTTTATATCGTAATTTAAAAACAGCAAGAAAACTGGCTTGTGTTTTCACTAAATCAGCTCACTATAAATATGTTTGTATTACGCTTGTTGTGTTCTGAGCCAAATTCATCTCAGACCGCTGTACAAAAATATCAAGTCTAAACTTTGAATCCTAACTCAGTTCAAAACAAATCTTAAAATTTCTATCTCTTGTGTGGGTGTTTTGCGATTCTTGAAGTTTCACAGTAAGAACCATCTGAAAGTTCCTGCCACCCATGGAGCTGTTAAAGGTCCACTGTGCAGAAGCAGTGACATCTAGTGGCACAAGCTGCAAATTGCATCTAAGTCCTCTCAACCATCCATCCATCCATTATCTTTACCCGTTTATTCCATTTTGGGTCACGGGGGTCGTTGGTGCCCATGTCCAGCAATCACTGTGCGAGGGGCGGGGTACACCCTGGACGGGTCGCAAGTCCATCACAGGGACACATAGACAAACGAGACAAACAACCATTCACTTTCTCACTCACACCTAGGGACAATTTAGAGTTACCAATCAGCCTAACATGCATGTTTTTGGTCTGTGGGAGGAAACCGGAGCACCCGGAGAAAACCCACGCATGCACGGAGAGAACATACAAACTCCACCCAGAAAGGCCCCTGGACCGGGGTTTGAACCAGGGACCTGCTCGCTGAGAGGCAGCAGCTCTACCAGTTGTGCCACCGTGCTGCCCGTCCTCTCAACCTACCGACAGAAATGAAATACAGCAGGTGGAAATAATAGAACAACTTACACTTGTTTATAGATCTAGTATGTAATTTATTTCTTTAAGTTTCTATTGTTTTATGATCTGTGTTTTTGTTCCATTATAGTTAATTTCAGCTTGGTTTCTTTTTTTGTAAGAACTACAGAGCTGTTTTTGTTCTTGGTTCTTATCTGTCTGAGTTTTTGTTATCTGTTACTTGTTATGGCACTTAGGTGTCCTCCTTACCTTTCTTTTGCCCCTGATTGACTCACCTCTACCTTCTCATCTCTCACCTGCAGCCACTCTCCTCAGTAGAAATACTTGTTGGTTTTCTCAGCTTTTTGTGATATCCTCTTTGTTACCTTCATTTTAGCCCAACCATATTTTTTTCTCACTTTTGCTTATTTACTTTTGTTTTGGCTCTTTGTTGTCTGCTCTTTTCTTGACTCGTATATTTACTACATTTTCTGACCTTACCTGCAATCATTTTTTTTATTAGACCTTTATTTATACAAGTTAGTTCCCATTGAGCCTCGAAGACTCATTTACAAAAGAGACCTGTTACATACAACATACAGGCAGATGAAAAAAAGAGATCACAAGGGTGGAGGAAGCAAAAAAAAAAAAAAAAAATCATGTTTCACACCATGTCCTGGCTGGGAAACAGTATAAAATATGCAAAAAAAGATCTCACAACATAAAGCTGCAACATACAATGACATCATAATATTTTTATGCATAGAAGTCGACAAAGGCGGTGAGTTATCCATAGACACTCCAGAAAGTTCCAAAGTTCTGATAAGTTGGTACAATATCTATCAGCATCATGGTTCTGATAAGGCCACAGATGCCCTGGGGGTGGGGGGCAGGCAGAAGCTTCTAGTTTACATATTCTCCAGGAGCAATTTGAGATAAGTTGGCCTGTCCAAGGCCAGCAGGGAGGCCAAATTCAGATAAACAACAATTGTTTGGGCTGTCAGACCCTGTTTTCTGTCTGCCTTCAAGTTCTGCTGGTACACTCAATGGCAAATCCAAACAGCCAGAGTAGTGGACATTCTGCTCAGTCCGTGCTCGATTTAGCTTTCTCCAAGATCGAATCCTTCATGCTGGTGAGTTCCAGGAGCCACAAGTGGCCTACGATTCTCAGAACTCACGTCCAGCTTGCGGTTGAGCTCAGTAAGCATATGAGTCTGAGAGCTCGAAGCACAAATTAATCCTTCACATAAGGCTGGCAGCTTTACCATGATCGAAACTGCGGCCAATGTCTTCCTAATTTGTCGATATCCTTGGTATCCACCAAATCCAAAAAGCAGAAACCCTGTTATCATAAATCCAATAATGTACATTTCTTCTACATCCTCCACGGACAGCACAGATAGGTGCATCATCTTCTGCTCCCCCCAGGAATCAATGACATACCCCACTGTGTGGGTCAGTTCAGGGCATGAGGGCTCTCCAGCACCTTGTCATCTGGTGGGAAAAAAATCATCAGCTGCATTGAGGGACCAGCTGACCAGATCCATAATAATTTTTGATTCGGAAAAGAGAGGCTCTGAAGCTGACAGGACAAGAGAGCAAAAAAGCAGAAAGGAGGGAGGTTAAGAGCAACCGTCTTCGTCCAAGGCAAAAGAGAGAATTATACTAACAAAGTGCAACAAACAGTGAGAATAATGATGATTTACTCACAGTTTAAGTAATAGAACTGACTTATTCCAAGATAATAGAAAAACAACCATGTGGTTTGTACTTTAATGAAAACTTGACTATAATATATATCAATACTTTTGAAAGTTATAGACGTTGGCAACAAAAACATTGCGTACATTTTTGTAAAACTGTTCACTCCATGACTGGAAAAAGAGTCAAAAAGTTGTCAAAGTCTAAAAAAATCTATCAAAGACCTTCATAGAAAGATTGATCAGGATCACTTTGCATAATTACAAAAACTCCAGCTGCTTGAAGGCAATAATAAAGATGCTATAAAACTTTAGCTCTGTAACTGACTGGAGCTGAGCTGAAAACCTCTGTTGGCCTAGTTCGACCCATCTGCATACAAAACTCTTGGTTCTCTGGTTTGAAAAGTTTTCTTTGTTTTGTCTATTATTTATTTATTTATTGGTGAAAATTAGCGATTTAAATGAAATCATGGTGGTCTAGTGGGATTTTATTTATAATATATAACTTTAAATTAGCATTATTGTGATATATTTAGGCAGGATTATGTTTATTTACTTATCAATGTAGGTAGAAATGCATTTATGGTGAATATGAACTGAAAACTTGCACATATATTGATCTAAAAATCATTGGAGCGTTCTGTAAAATGACAAAAATATAACATTTCAGAGCGTCTACTGAGGCTAAAGTTAGAGAAATAACACAGTCATTTAAAGCATGTTGCCTTTAACCGTTTCCCTGCAAAGAAATGGGTCAGGAAAATCCTGCAAAAAGGAGATTTAATATCAAGCTGTAAGTGACATAAGCACGCAGGTTCAGTTGAGATGTACTATAAAAACAGAGAATACTGTCATTTTAAGCTGCCAAATAAAAGTCATCTCTTTCCATCTCCACTGAAAAAGTTGCAGGAGAATCAACCCCACATCCCAATAAAAACAGGCCTCTGCAGGACTGTGCGCAGCACGTCACAGTAAAGGATGATGCATCGCTGCACCCGCACCTCAGCTGATCAAATCAAAACATTTGTAGTCCGTCGCTGTTTGATTTGTGTTCAGCCTGCTCTGCTCTGTAACATTTGTAATTCTTCGTTTCTGTTTGCGACGAGCACGAAAACTGGAAGGAGCCGTGTCTTCTTGGAGCTCTGACACTGTAATTGTGCAGATTACTGGGCAGCTCTTTTACAAGAAGAATTGGACCTTGAATGCTGACCCAGACTGCACTGACAAGAGTTCCCACTGCCCAAAAAGGAAGAAAAATGTGCACAGTCACTCCCCATCACTTCTCGCCGGTCTGCTATAAACTAAGTATCGGGAAGGCATAAACGGAGTGCACATTTGTGTAAATACTACCACTGGACTCTCCATTAAACTGAATGAACTCATTACTCTCTGATAGTGGTAGCTCAGTGTAAACTGGAGCCTGTTCTGCTCTTTGTGAGAAGAAATGCTGGGAGCGTTCAGTGAACACAACCTTGTACTGCTTTAGGGAAAGGTTTCTAACTGCATTCAAAAAGTGTTCAATACAAAAACAACTGGACTTTATTTGTAACAGAAGACGTTTCGCTCCTCATCCGAGGAGCTTTCTCAATTCAAAGAGCAGAGAGTGAGAGGTTCAGGTTATAAGGCTGAGTGAGATAAGACACACACACATATGTAGATTGGCAATTCACACCTAAACAACCTTAACAGTAAGAGTTTTTTGTTCCTCTAATTCACAGATGAGGCCCCTCTGTTTCCATCAGGTGTGAAAACCGGCTGGGAATCTGTTTTAAAGTTGCATTATAGGTTTTTGAAAGTGGAAATCTGAGGCCTCCTCCTCTGTTGAGACGGCTTTTCTCTTTTTACATAAATTGCTTCCTTCACCCCCCTCTCAAACCATCTGTGTTCTCGGTCCAAAATGTGCACATTTTGGTCCTCAAAAGAGTGTCCCTTATCTGTGAGGTGGAGGTGAACAGCTGAGTCTTGTCCTGTGGAGCTGGTTCTCCTGTGTTGAGCCATGCGTCTGTGAAGAGGCTGTTTAGTTTCTCCAATGTAGAGGTCTGGACAGTCCTCGCTGCACTGGACCGCATATACTACACCACTCTGTTTGTGTATGGGTGTTTTGTCTTTAGGGTGGACCAGCCTCTGTCTGAGAGTCCTGCTGGGTTTCTAACTGTACTAAAAAAATTTAAAAAAACTTTCCTGTCTGTGTTTTTATGTTTCAGGGACAAAAAGGAGATCCTGGACTGTCCCCTGGTCAAGGCCTTAATGGACAAAAAGTAAGCAAATTATATCATTTTTCTTTACGTTGAAGAACTTTTGGTCTTAGCAAACAGGCAGTTAATTTATTTATGTTTCCTAGGGAGAATATGGCATTATGGGCCCCCCAGGACTGCCTGGCCAAGCTGGACGAAAGGTAAAATGTCACAAAGTTAAAGGGACTCTTTGCTAAATATGTAAGCAAACATGAAAAAATATTACCCTGAACTACATCAAATGGTGCAGTTTTAAAGAGTTTACCCAGAACAGTTGAATGCAGTTCTGACATGCAGGTCCACACTCAATGTAAACAGAGCAAAGATGCAATTAGTAGCACAGTTTGATGTAATCATTGCACTTTTAAATTAGAGACCAGAGTTTGAAACATTGAACAATTACTTTTTTTAAACAAACTAAAGCGAAATGCTGATTTAAAACTGATGTAGAGATTTGCATATTCCACCTAGATGAAAGCAGCATAAAATGAAAACTTACCCAATTTTATAAATTTGTGGCTTTTAATTCAGATTATGATTATAGCACTCAAAGATTTTACTCTATTCGGTTGGATTTGTAGTAAAAAAAACCAAACAAAAACGATGTGCATCTGCTAAATAAGTGCTAAAAGTGCACCATTAGCACTATGAAAAACAACTTCAATTACTTTATGCATCTCCACAGCTGAAGGCTGTCTGGCTAGCGAGCTAGCAGCTATCATGTGCTGCTGAGTTGGACAGAACCAACTCTAAGTTCAGGCAGGGGGGTGGAAAATGTGACAATGATTTTTAACATACATTTTTTAGTTTGTATTTGAACTAAAGTAGTAAAATTAGTACCAATAAACAGTACCAGTATGCTGCAAGCGGGACCATGTTGCTAAGGGAACCTCACTGCCAACAGAACCACTCTGCTAATAGGACCATGCTGCTGTAGATGTATTTCTATTTCTTTTGTACTTCAGCACTTTTTTTGTTGTATTTTTGTTGCATGCTTTGGTATCTCTTGTTGTTTTTTTGTTGGTGACTTGAGACGGTTCTTGTCCTGAGCATTTCAGTGCATAGTTGACCTTGTGTTGATCAGCAGGTGACAAATAAACCAAACCTGAACCTACTGTACCTGTTTATGTCATACAGTTGTCCCTTGTTTATCGTGGGGGATTTGTACCCTGAAGCTCCGCGATAAGTGGAAAACCACGAAGTAGGAATAGTAGTACAAGTAGTAGTTTAACCCTTCCCACACTCTTAATATTCTAAACAATGTCTCTAAACTCTATACCTCTAAAAGGGCACAGAATGTCGTGATTTCAGCTCCCAGCCGCCACTGCACTCAGCCACCTGCAAGTTGTCTTGGCCACGCCCACTTATCCGCTCTGCACGGAGAACAGCTGATCAGCTGCAGCAGGAAGCTTTTCCTACAGTATGGGCTGCACAAAGGTGCAGAAGGTGCTACATAATGTAAAATAATTTATTTTAAATAATAATTCCGTGCCGATCGTGTGGCTCATCCATCAATCAGCCAGTTTTGTGTCATGTCCACTTTTATTTTGAAAAACTGCGATAAACGAACCGCGAAGTAGCGAAGGACTACTGTATTGCTGGGATTGTTAAAAATTGTTTTTTCAGTGGAAAAAAAAATATGGGTAAGAAAACGCAAGTTGGATGGCACAGTTGATAGATGCCGCCTCTCAGCAAGAAGGTTGTTACGTCGATTCCTGTCCGGGAGACATTTTTGGGTGGAGTTTGCATATTCTCTCTGTGCATGCTTGGGTTTTCTCGGGGTACTCCAGTTTCCTCCCACACACCAAAAACATGCATTTTAGGCTAATTGGTAAATCTAAATTGTCTCTAGTGTCACGATTCACGCCAGGCTGCTACAGCTCCACAGGACCCCACGTCGCCCGCTGCAGAACTCCAGGACTGCACGACTGCTGCAGATCTGACCCAATCGCAAGGTATTGGAGGGTCGCCCAGCCTTCCACCTTTGACATTGCCACTTACCGGACGACCTCATGGCCGCCCACTGGAGCCCTGGAACAGCTTTGGACAGCCCATCTGGTTGTAATGGGGGGTTCGCTACATCTAGAGAGAGAAAGTGAATGGTTGTTTGTCTCGTTTGTCTTCATGTGTCCCTGTGATGGACTGGAGACCTGTCCAGGGTGTCTCCCACTTCTCGCACAGTGATTGTTAGACATGGGCACCAGTGACCCCCTTGACCCAAACAAGGAAGAAGCAGATAAAAGATAATGGATGGATGAAAATCCAAGTTTGCACCCTCACTTTAACAAATAGAGGAGCAGCTTCTCCACTTGCTCCATTGATCAGGCGCCAATGGTTGTCCCAGTTTATTGCTACATTTTCAGCCAGTGAAATGAGTGGTGATCTTTTGGATGAGTATAAATAAATGTAGACACAAAGTGTGACACTCAGAGATTCTCACCAAACATCAATGAACTGTTGTTAGGAAAGCACTGGAACAAAATGCAACCACTTCCTTTGTGAATGAAACAGTTTGGTTTTCTTGATTATCATCAGTAGCTCTGCCCCCCGATGGGTTTAAACCATGTGATGGGAAAAAAATCAAGATCACTGGTTGAAAAGTTTGACATGCTCCTTCTAAACATTATGTCACTCACTCCCCCAAGAGCAGCACATTCTGAAAAGTAGGACAAGTTAGGAATGCGGCTCGGTTCTGTGATCTGGTCCTGCTCATAATGTATAATATTTGACTTTCTCTGCATACTTGTCTGCTGGGTTATCCCTACAGAGAGCGATGGCTTGTAAAGCGTTCTTCTCCACGGCTCGGTGCATTTTATTTCTGGCCTTTTCCCAAGCTCCTCACAGTAATTACACAAGTCAAGTGGGCCAGTGCCAGTTGGGTTTTCCTACTGTGTCTAATAAATGTCTTTGTTTCGCGTATACTTTGTTTAAACAGAGTCGTTTGAATGAGTTTTGAATCGTTGCTTTGACTCTTTTAAATTTAGAAAATGGATATTCTAAAAGTAAACAACAGAAAATAAAAAGTGGGGAAGGAGACAGTTTCTCCTCTGATGTTTATTTTTTAATCAGTCTTGCACAAATGCACAAATCTTTTGCTGAATTTGCATCTCTTTAAGAAGAAATCCATGTAGGGTTAATACATACAGTACATACTTCACAGATATTTCCATGTATGCTGATCAGATTCATAAATTATAATGAATGGATAATTTAGGATTAGAATACTAGAATATAACCGGCCTCGCATTTTAATTATTCTTTATATTTAATGCGATGTGACAGGTTGTGTCAGTTTGATTTAACACAATATGCTCATTCTTGAAACTGACATACAACACCGTTTGCTTTCTTTGCTATTTATAATTTTTCGATGACATCACGGACTTACCCACTGTAACTTTGTGCTCTTTACACAAACTTTATTTTTTCAGGCGAGTTAGAAAATGTGCTCTTAATTTTCAACATTTCTCTTTTTTTGTAACCTGGAAAAATATTCAGTTCTTGAGCACGTCCAGGGCTCAAACTCTTCGTTACTCCAATATAAGAAAGTCACTCAGTCTTACACTGAATTATTCTGAGTTTCATTTAATTCCGTGCAGTGGTTTATGAGATATTTTGCTAACACAAACAAATGATAAAAGACAAGATCAAATATGCCTGCCTGCTAATGCAGGATAAGCGCTGTCACTTAAATAAATGTTATTGAACTCTATAAACAAAATTCTTCCTATTTTTTATAGAACATGTTGAGTTGAACAAAGCCCATAGCTGGAGCTGCAGCACTTTATAAAATCAAGGAGCACTGTAAAAAAAAATAATAATAAAACCTGGTGTGTGTAAATGTCTTCCATTCAGCCCTGTAACTGTAAGCGCTCTAATTAAAAAAAAATACACCTTGAGTTTTGACTTATGGAACATATAGGAATGGGAAAAGTCAAATATTCTCTGCTGGTTTATGGTTATTGTGGATTTTTGCCGGACTCAAATTAAACTTTTCTTGTTCATTACATCACCTAAAATGAGATTTTCATCTGCGTTAACCTTAAAGAGCTCATATGAGTGCAAATTGACTGCTGACAGCCATTCAAATTGTTAAAACCCAGTTTGGAGCCAGCTAATTAAAACTCAGAAATCTGTTTGGCTCTGCTGAAGGCCACCAGACATCGTAAGGCTTGCAGCTGGTTTTTACTCTTAGTATTTTTTTAATCATTTTCTGGCACATAAAGCCTAACCCCTTATAAAGATGAGTAATTCTGATAGTTTTTAGACCAGCCACAGGTGAAACAAGGCTTGCTTTCTGGCTGTTTAACCAGCCAGTTAAGTTTGACCTGCCGCAGCTTGATGGGACTCTTTATGCTGAGTTTACTGCTCTGAGCCTGGCTGGCAGCCAGAAAAAGCCTCCCTCACTGTGGGAAACGTGCAAAGATGTGATTGTCTGGGATACTGTCAGCAGTCTGCTCGGTAGACGACTCACGCATGTTCGAGTAAAACCCCAAACACTGAGGAGTGTTTGCAGCCAGGTTCAGATTTTAGCTGGCTAAAGACTAGAAAAAAAAGTCGTAGCATTCGTTGAAGGAATGCATATTGCTCAATGCCTTTCCTGCCAGAGTTTTAGACTGAGATCATCTTATGTTGAGAAATAGAGTTATAGCTGTTTTGGTCAAACCTTGAAAATATTTACAGTCCATTGGAAGATTATGAGATTTAGATAGAACTTGGAGAAGTTGTTGTGAATGATAGCCAGCTATTATTACACCAACTTTTAGTGGAATATCTATATAACTGGTTGAGTTATGGCCAGGGGCGATTCTAGAATCTGCCCTTTAGGGGTGCTCAGCCCCCAGTGCAGACAGTGGCTCTTGGGTTGAACAACGCAGTGGTCATGGTGTCAGAAGCATTTGTAATGTGTGTGTGTGTGTGTGTGTGTGGGGGGGGGGTTCCTCTTCCAGAAAATTTTGAATAAAGAAGATGTCATTTTCTGCATTCTGGTGTATTTTAACGGGTTGTTAAACATCTACGTTTACCTACATAAGTAAACTCTAACTTGTGGTGAAGAGAGAGCTGAGCTGTAAGACAAAACTCTCTGTTTACCAGTCGGTCTACGTTCCTACCCTCACCTATGGTCACGAGCTCTGGGTAGTGAACGAAAGAAGGAGATCGC